TTTGTTGATAATATGAGTGATCAGTAAATGTGGCAATAGTTATATACTGGAGTAATTTGTATTGTTGATATATGCAAGCAAAAGATTTTTCCCCATCATTTTAAGCTTTGTCTCTTGTGTACCTCTCATTTTTTAAGCAGAAGACTTATGGTTCATTTATTCTTTTGTTTGGTTGGTTCTCTTGGTAACCGTAGTTATTTATTGATGCTTTATACGTGGTGCTACTTCTTTTCAGGCTCGTGTGCATGATGAGAGCTCAAGATGCATATTATCTGATTATGCTATTGTCGCTCTCTCCGAAAAAGTCCCTACAACTCAAGAAGATATATATGACACCATAATTCAATCTGATTTGAATATTGACTCTTCAAATCTCAGCTTTTCACTGCCTTCGCCTCTGGTTTGCAGCCATTGGATAGATGTGCAGCAAATAATCCAGGATAAGTTAGGCAGTCTTGATAATATTTTTCCGGTGGTTATTCAAAATTGCCTTGGTCCAAATGGGAGCTGTCCATTGTCTGTATTTAACTATGCATTATTGATAAACCGTGGCCTCAAACTAGAAACTAAATTAGTCTCCAAACAGAATGGATTCAGAAACCCAAAACAAATTTCTAAGAAAGCTTCTCGTCAACTATTCATTCAAAAATATTTTCCTGCAAATCTCCGGTTTACCATAATTGTAGGATCTATTCAAATGATGGCCGACTATTATGTTATTGTGATCGCAGGAAGCTGGAATGGTTGGTGCTCCTTTTTTCTGTACCTTATTTTTATTTAACGACAAAATTTATGTTCAATTTGACAAGTCAGTATTTTTATCTTCCAGGTATCTTCGTAAAGATCTGGCAAAACTTGTTGATGATGACCCTCCTGCAATAATGCTTCTTTTCGAACCAAAAGGTCGCCCAGAGGATGAAGTTAATGATTTTTATATCCAAAATAAGCAAAATATATGTGTAGGGTGTGGTGAGGGCAATCACTACTTACGCTACCGAGTAATTCCTGCATGCTACAGAATTCACTTTCCTGAGCACTTGAAGAGCCATCGCTCTCATGACATAGTCCTGCTTTGTGTTGACTGTCATGAAGTTGCCCATGCTGCCGCTGAGAAGTACAAGAGACAAATTGCCGGAGAATTTGGAATTCCACTTTATGTCCGTAAAGTGGTTGATTCAAACCAAGCGCTTATGATATCTGGGTCATCTGAGTCAACAAACTTCGAAGATTCAGGCGTCTCACCACTACAATTGCTAACAGCTGCCAAGGCTCTTTTGTGTCATGGACCTGAAATGCCTCCCAGCCGCCGTGATGAGCTGACCCAGGTCTGAAAGCTTATCTTTTGATAGTTATTTTCTTGTAAAACTCTAATGAGCATTATGTTTCTTTGAATTGCAATGAAAAGTTGCTTGAAATCCTAAAGCAAAATGGTTAGTTGCTATGTACTAGCGTTGACCTATGCTTTGATGGGAACATCAAGATAACTTTGGTAGTAGAATATATCGTGTAACTTGTTCAAGCTATTTGAATCTTGGAAGATTATTAAAAATTAAACGTAATATTGATAAGAACGGCCATTCTTGACAAAAAAAATTATGTTCGATTAATTGTAAACATTCAGATGCCTCGTGTTTGATCTAAAATTTGTATTTTATGATCTACAACATATTAAGATAGAAGAACCAAACTCCCTGTTCATTTTGCATCTTCCCCTGCTAGTGCTTGTATATTAGATAAAAGGAAAAGAAAATTAGAACCTCTATGTAGTTTTATGTCTCTCTCTTTCAGTATAATGTTTATCATCGGTCACAAGCAGGTGTAGGGCTTTGCTGTATATTTCATGAAGCTCTTTAATCAAATACTAAATCAGTTTTCCTTCTTCCTGTTGATTTTGCAGATTGTCATGAGATATTATGGCGGAAGGGAGATCTCCAACGAAGATTTAGAAAGAGCCTTGGTAGTGGGCATGAGTCCTCATGAGCAAAGAAGACTAGCGAAGAAGAAAGGCTTATCTTTAAAACAGTCTAGAACAATCCCTCCTGTTAAAAAACAAGAAATTAATGATGTGACAAGGATCTTATCTATCACGTCAGATCCATCTAAAGTTAGCAGTCCTTATACTTCAGATTTTACTGCAGATGTTTCTCATTCAAAAGAAGTTGATACATTGAAGGAAACATCAGGGACAAAGGATGACATGGATTTTTGTATGGTAACAGATACGGATCATACAGTCAATCCTTCTACTTGTTCTGATTCCAGAGTGACAACAGCTTGCCATGATATGAATTCGCGTAGCAGTCGAATCTCCGAGACTGAAGTTGTTTGTGGAGTCAATATTGATAACTTCAAGAGCAGCACACCAAATGAAATAGCTAACTCATCTTGCGCCAGATACGAAGGAAACACATCTGTTAAACATAATAAAAAATTTTCTCTACTAGGACATGGCCCCCACGGGAAACAAGTTGTTGATCATATACTAAATGAATTTGGAGAGGAAGGCATTCGTCAATTTTGTCAGCGATGGAGGCAAGTCTTTGTTGAAGCTGTTCATCCTCGTTTTTTACCTGGCGGTTGGGATGTGATGCACAGGTATGCGTCTGTACTGTTATATTTGTTTGTAATTGTTTTAGGTTTCATTATTATAGAAGGTCTGTATGGGAAGGAGTGATATGTAGAGAACTTTGGAGATTGTAGGAAGACCGAGGACACAGTATGTAAGAAACCGAATTCATTGATGATTTTGATTGATCTGAAGGGAATTTGAGACGGTGGGAAGAGTTCAGAGAAAGAATGATGACCATGTGAGGAAGTACAGGAAATCAGGAACATTGTATTGTAGGCAACAACTTTTAACTCCTTGATAAATGTAATGTTGAGAGGAGAATCTATGCAGTATCAAAACTGAGGTTAATGGTCTTATAATGAAAGAAGCACTTCTTAGTTTCATTGTCCTTGAATTTTGGCCAATACTCAATACCCTCAAATATGGGTGTGTTCTTTCTGGGTCAATCTTATGCCAATTATGATCGAGCATTAACTCTGAGTTCCCTTCGAAGTTGATGCCTACATCACTGTTGTAGCACACATATGTAGAACTTCAGAACAACCCTGCTAGAACCTAGAGTTAGAAAAAGAGCCTACTAATCAGTTGTTACCCTTAAAGCTTAGGCTTTGATATGATAAATGCTACCTCCCTCCCTCCCTCCCTCCCTCCCTCCTACCCTACCCTACCCTAAAAAATGACTATTCATGTCATGTTGTCAACTAATTACTCATTTCATTATGGATGTATTGATTTATTTGCTTTGTCCAAGGGTTTAACTCTGGAGCTTGTTTTTGGCAGTGGGAGACGAGAATTTGGCGAGTTCAGCGTGTACAATCCTGCAAAGAAAGGTGCCGATGGCAGTTAATGATGGAAATGTAAACTCAAGGACATTGCAGTTTCAACTATTGGCGTTGCATGGCAATGGCTGGTTCATTGCAGTTGCAACTCATTTTTGTATTGGTAAGGCTGCTCAAGAACCTTTTAAGTTTGAGATGATGTGCATCCTGTTTGTTTAACCGTCCCCATTTTCAAGATTTGGACCTCTTTCTTTTATCCCCTAAACTAAAAGATAAGTAAACAAATTTTGGTCATGATTTGTATTTGGAAAGTCCGGATAGATTGGTAGATTAGGTCTTCAGATTGCAGCCTTAAGTGTGTTTCGTGTATCTGTCTAGTAGATCTCTTTTGTTGTTGTTTAAACTTGGACGATCCATGTATGAATGTTGTTGTTGAATCAAGAACTGTTATTCCTTTGGCGGCACATAGCTTCTTCCTTCAAAGACACCTGAGTCGCCAAAAAGCATGGAAAGTTGTACCATTGGTGCGTTACAAAGTCTTTACTTAGGGCATGGGATCAATCTAATATGAAGATTAAATATATCAACATAAATAAATAAATCAAAATATAGATAAAAATTTATAATAATATTTTTTTATTAATACGGATTAAGTAAAATGTAGTTTTTGTTCAAAGATAACTTTTAATTTTTTTGACATTAAAGGCGATAACTTTCAAATCTTTTAACATTAAAGGTGATAATTTTCAATCTTTTGATATTAAAGGCGATAACTTTCAATCTTTTGACATTAAAGGCTCATACCCTTAGTGTTCGAACTCAAGTCCTTAGAGAATATTAATAATTTTTTTATCACAAAGGTTGTTTGTCCTTAGAGAATATTAATAATTTCTTTATCACAAAGGTTGTTTGGTTCGTGCTTATAATAATATGAAAAATAAAAAATGTCATGAACGTGAACATAAACTTAGAAATACTTAAAGTTTCAAACTTCAAATTCTTAAAACATAAATATACTCCAATTACAAATTTTACACAACCGAATGGGTTGCTATATATATATATTGTGTTTTGATCCTAAATTCGTTTTCTTTTGAACATTAAATTCTTAAACAGAGGAGGAGGGAAGGCATAAACCCAATGTTCAATGTGCAGGAAGCTTCACACACATTATGGGACTATTTTGTTATAAGTTTCAAAGATATGATACTAAAACTATGTTCATCCCATTTCTCTCTATACAAGCAAAGAATCAGTTGCATCCCTTGTTAATATAATAGCTAATTGTTTAAATATTAAATATATAAGTATTTATAATTTGATTAATGTGTTTAAAAAATCTCTATGTTGAATTACGCTATCATTAAAATTTAAAATAACGACTAGAAAAATCAATTGATATAATTCTGATATTTAGGTACTCAATTAAAATATTTTAAAATTCAGTAACTAATTTAAAAAAGATTATATATGTTGCCGCATGACGTCAGCGCATGCAGGCGAGCTCACTAGGGAGACACGTAAGATCATCATGCATCTAATAGCCTGCCATTTTTCAAATTTTGTTACCGGCTATTGCCGGTACCTTCCATATAAAAATAAAACTCACCTCTTTCGCGCCGGTGGTGTTTGTTTGCTTTGCTCTTCATAATTACTCTTTTTTGTTTAAAAAAAAGAAAAAGAAAAAAACAGAGAGGAAGAGGAAGATTGATGGGGCGATACGGCGTCGAAGCGGCAATGATATCGTACAAGGTGAACGGCGAAGCCAATGGTTGGCGTGACATTAACGATTCAACGCTCTGGCAGGATCGCATTTTTCACATCCTCGCCGCCCTTTACTTTCTCGTCGCCATCGTTGCTCTTGTATGTCCTCTCCTCCCTTTTTCCATCACTTTTATATTTATTTATCTCTGCTTGATTGGCGTTGTATAGGAACACTTATGATTATTGCTTACAATCAAGATTCTGTTTCATTACTTCTGCGTAATATAAGAAGATTTTCTTAATGTCGTTGTCATGAATAGCTATTTTCAGTTACAATCTTTGTTCGCAACTCTTTTATTTGCTGATTTTTATAGGTTCAATTGATACGGATACATTTGAGAGTTCCTGAGTTTAGTTGGACCACGCAGAAGGTCTTCCATTTACTAAATTTTCTGGTGAATGGGGGTTCGTATCTAAACCCTTTTTTATCACTTTTTCCCCATTTAATTTGGTTTGTCTATTTATCATGGTTTTATTTGTATGACAGTTCGTGGGCTAGTCTTTGTTTTCAGGCGGAATGTGCAAGGCTTGCATCCAGAGGTTTGTATTTTTTATATTCTCGGGCTTGAATTATTCACAATTTGTTGCTTAAGGTTGCTTGCTTGCATTTTTGTTAGATTGTTCAACATATCTTGCTGGACATGCCAAGTCTAGCCTTCTTCACGACATATGCACTTCTGGTTTTGTTTTGGGCTGAGATCTACTACCAGGTTAGATTATTGAGCTTTGCCAGTTTGCGTTGGTGCTGCTGTCTTTATTGTTTTGAAAGAATTAGCTTTTTTATCTTAACTCTGCCTATCCTGAAACAGGCACGAGCCGAATCAACTGATGGACTTAGGCCAATTTTCCTTGCACTAAATGCGGTGGTTTATACTATTCAGGTGAAGTATATTTTCTATTATTTTGGTTCAAGTGCCAGCAGAAGGAAAATTTGAGATCCTTTCTACAGGAAGGCTTAATTATTTAGTTGACTAATTTGTTCAAAATCTGTAAATCTTTAGCTGAGATAAGGGAAGCAAATTTTGACAGAGTGGATTGGCGCTGTTTGATGACTTATTTACTAAATATTGTGAATCGGATCATATTACTAGCCTTATTTTTCAAAAGTGATCTTCCTTTTTCTTGGAGGGAGAGTCTAAATATTGTGCTCAGTGTGGCAAGATTGCGGTAGACTGATTTTCTGCTTTAGTTCTTTAATTCTATGCAAATCAATCTAGGAAATAGTCAAGGGTCCAATTTGTGGTGTCCAGAATAATTTCTACATTTGAAGGTATGATCTTGCAACAATATACCCTAAGTCAGCTCTTTATCCTCATCTTTTGTCCAGAATAATTTCTATGTTTCGGATTACATTTCTATATACGTCTGGTTACTCGCAAGGCATTGGTGTCTGTATTCATTCATATGTCATATAAACCTCTAATAAGTTAAACATGTCGTGTTCCATCAGAAGTTTCTTGGCATTGGATGTTATGCCATACCCTGAAGTTCCTTCTCATAGTTATTGCCTCCAAGAAGTCGAGTATTCTATTGCCAATAGGGATTTGAGTTTCACACATATGCAAAAATGATAAATGATATTGCTTGTGCTTTATGCATCACCCTGATATTTCTTTTCCTTTTTGACTGTACTCTTGTCAACTGTTAGTCATGATTTAAGACACTACGTCTAAGATGCTTTAGCAATGAATTCAGGTAGTTTGTAGTGCTTCAGTATTCCATTCCTACTAGCTCTTTGTTAATTTAGTGATTAGTGGCTGTGAGCCCGTGACCTGTACCGATTGTTTCTTATTACTTTACACGGTTTCTTCTGCTGGAATATGCCAACAAACTACCCTGATGCCGGCCTCTATAAATCATGGTCAGATGAGACTATGGTCTATGAGAGTTAGATCATAAAAAGTCTTGTTAGATAGGTTAGAAGATAATATTTCCTTTACTAGAACAGTGTCTAGTATGTAAATGGTACTTTTTTTTGTAGATTTTAGAAGCAAATTGGACTTACATTATATAATTTTTTTCATCTTAGCACGTTCAGTTTCAGACTTGTTGGAAAGTGTTGCATACTTGATTTTCTTTGGACATGTGACTTTTGATGAGGGAATTGATTTCAGATTGCAATGTGGCTGGTATTATGCTGGAAGTATATCCCAATTTTGGTCATTATATCGAAGATGTTCTTTGCTGGTAAGTATTTGTTGTATCCTTAGTAGATTTAATAGTTAACACGATTGAGTAAGTTAGCGTGCTCTCTAAATTCATCATGGATAATCACTTAGTAATTCGGAATGCTTTATAGATAGCAATCACATGGTATTTTGTTTCGGTAATGAATGGAAGTTTTTTATCCTGACTTATATAAATGGGCAGGTGTGTCATTGTTTGCAGCCCTTGGGTTTTTACTATTTGGTGGAAGGTAATATTGCCATATATTGTACTTTAGTGAATATTTATGCTAATCGTTGATAATTCAGTTGGCAATTATGGAATAATTATTATTTTATTGATATATGTTCCTGGGTATTTGGTACCTCTTAAAGAAAATTATTGTTGGCCTTTTTTTTCATCATGTATACCCTAATTACGGTTTCTCCTCTTCATTCCTTAAGAAAACAGTGTAACCATATCATAAATAGGCAGTGTTTTGGTTGGGAATGGAAAAGGTATATATACGTATATAACTTGTTCAATCCTTGCAGGCTTTTCTTAATGTTGCAGCGGTTCCCTGTAGAGTCCCAAGGGCGACGTAATAAGCTACAAGAAGTACATATTTACTTCAATAGTAGACTTGGTTTTTGAACCCTATTTTTTGGCCTTCTTTTTACAAATTTTTATTGTTTTTTTTACTTGGGCAGGTTGGTTATGTGACCATCATATGTGTCTCGTGTTTCTTAGTCAGATGCATTATGGTAGATTACTTATTTCCTTTCTGGATTTATTAACACTACACATTGACAATAGTAGAAGCATGTTCTGTAGACCTTTGTGAAACTTCCAGATTTATATAATGTTATATGCACTTTTGTTCGAAAATAGAAGTATTTTAGTTGCACCCTTTAGCTGCTAGTTGGTTTAACTTATTGATGTCTAAAGTTTTTTTTTCTAATTTGCGCTCTATTGTTATTTTTTTGTTTTAGATGTGTTTTTCTGCATTTGACAAAGCTGCTGATCTTGATGTTCTGAGCCATCCAGTTCTAAACTTCATTTATTATCTGGTATGTTTTAATGGATATCCTCGATCATGTTGGTAATTTTCTCGCTATTGAAATACAGTTGCTTAACCCTTATTATTGCCATATCAAAACTGAAAGGATTTCTGCATTCTGTATTCCTTTGTTGGTTTGCTGTTAACTTTAATGCATGTTTCAAGGAATTACAAGGCTTTGCATCAGATTGTCATGTGGAAGAATTTGGTAGATGTAATTGAGTTGCGACTATATATAGAGTAAAATTTATGAGTTTTTGGAGAGCAACTTGAGGCTCGGGGGTTATTTTAATGACAAAATGTTGCATACAGATACAGTTGGGCAGTTAGACCACCCTCGCACTTTTTATCATTATTTGCAAATTAGTAAATAATGTTACCCATAAGTGTAGTTGATATTTTCTTCATGTCTTTCTAATTTTCCCCCATCATCTCCACTTGCTTTTAATTGCTTATGTATAGTCATTTTGGTTGAACTTGTATACAAATAAGGCTATTATTATTTTTCTTGGGCAGTTGGTGGAGATATTACCTTCAACTTTGGTCCTTTTCATTCTGCGGAAGCTGCCACCAAGACGAGGTATTACGCAGTATCATCCGATACACTGATCTTCACAGGTCAACGATGACACGGCAGCAAGAACCAATCACAGTGATGATTTTCAGCATAGCTTCTGTACCCTGTAAAGTAAGCAGAAAAAGCAAAATAGGTACATGAATTCTACAACTTTTTTAATCCGTTGAAAATAAGGAAGGTTGGAGATTCTGATGATAAATGGATACCATTTTGCAAGAGCCTGCCTGCGTGTACTAACAAATATTTATCTATGTATGTAAAGCTCTTGTGGAATACATAGATGAAACAGAGACATGCATAAATATGAGACATACAGCGCTTGCTTGCATAAACATGATTTATAGGTTTCTTTAGGAAGGTTGATGTGTGTTGATTCTCGATCTTGCCGAATCGATATATAGAGATGAGTTGAGAGATGAAAGATGAAGTTTATTTTCACTATAAAAAAAAAACAAAGGAACGAGATTTCAATTGTTGGCACTTTGAACAATATATAAGGGCCAAGCTCATGAAAGTTTGACTTGTTGATAGAACAAAAACCTACCATTCTAAGCCTCTTTGATTTGAACCTAACTCTAATTTGCTTGGTCAGTTAAGATTCATGGAAACATAAAAGGTCAAATTCAAGTAAATTTAAAAAGTTGGTAAATTTTCAAATAATTACATAATGATTATTAAAATTTTATGAGTCATTGTAATATAACAGTGATTAATTTTTAATAGTCTGATAAATTTAATAATCATTTTATAACTTTAATTAGTAAAACAATAATTGTAACATAATTCAATGATTTTCGATGTATTTCATATTTATTTATTGTATTACATAATGATCGATAATGGCGTAAGAGTTTTCTTGCTCCATAAGCTACCTTAATCCACCCACCAACAAACCATGTGTCTCAGTTATTTACTTAAAGAAAAAAATAATTAAATACGTATGGGGTAGATTAACACCGTTTACGGGGGGGGGAGACATTGCTATCAATATATCAAACAATAATTATGTTTTAATTATTAGGAATTATTTGTTTATATTTACTAAAATTACTGTCAACCTCTCCTTCACAAGTCATTCGTTTCGCATGGAGAAAATAAGCCTCCGGTAATGTTGCAGAGAAGCGGAGATCCTACAACGACAACTTGTGTCGCTTCTTCTTTTCAGCGAGTGACTCCGCCGAGTCGGTCTGCTGCCGGGTTTTTACCGACAAAAGTCTGGCATCAAGTGGCGTCGCTGTGGAAGTCCGATGCAATGGGATGAGGTGTAGTTTGATGGCAATGCAAGCATTTCACTGAGAATTCCACTTACTTGTTGTCCAAGTTTGGCCGAATTTACCATGGAATTCTTTTATAATAATTACTATTAAAATTTCAGTAGTAATATAAACGATCCAATGATAATATGACTAAATTTTAGGGACTAAATATGATGGAACCAGTGAACAATAATCGAATCTATAACTTTCGCAGATTATTAGGACTAGCGACATAATTTGACTTAACTAATTTAGTGGCTACCGTTTAGTTCGAGACTTAAACTTCAAAATCTGAAAAATATAGGATTGGAAATGATCAAATTATAATATAGGGGCTGAATGCGTAACTTTTACATACTAGAAACGCTAAAATTAGAATTAGACCAAATTGGACTCAATTAATAAATCCAAATATGATGAGCAGTACCCAGAGAGCATGACATCATACTGTATGACATCAGCAAAAAATTCTAATATTGAACAAACAAACCAAAGCATAGAATCTCCATAAACTTTCCCTTCCATCTTTAATTGAATATAAATTTTTTTGGCGCCACAATTTCATCTCATCTCTATACTTTTCTTCTTTAATTTACATCCTCCAAAATCTCGTAAACCTTTAAGTTCTGATAATTTCTTTCATCGTACTTTTAATTCTCTTATAGTCTCTTTTTTTCATTGTTCTAACCATTTCTTATCATCAAACTTGTTAGTCATAGGTTCACATTTGATAGTTGTATACAGAAAATTAATATTTTATTCGGATATAACGACATATATAACAGAAACATTAATTATAATGTATGTTATTAAGATATATAGCATATGTTTTTAAAATTTATAATTTAAAAAATGTATAAAATATAAAGATTTTATTTATCTACTGATAAGGAAAAAGGATGAGATTATCCAAAAAAAACCAGTTTCAGACCTAATATCAATCTCGACTAAATGGTATATTTATCAATAATTTATGAATTTGATTGACGAAATACTACATTTTTAAGTTTAAATTTAAATACGTGTTAAATATATAAATAAAGTTAAATGTAATCTTAAATTATATAAAGTAGAAACTCTTTAAATTAATACTCGGCAAATTAATAAACTCTCTAAAATAATAAATTTGTCCGGTCCCGACTTGGGCCAATGTAAAAAATTGAAAACCTCGATAAAATAATAAGATAATAATTTTTCATGAGATCCCTTTATAATTTTCGGTCCCAAGAAAATCATAAATTAATAATTCATAGAAACTGAAAAAAAAAATATATTACACTCTATTGAAATATGATTCAATAGTTGTCTATTTTTCTTTAAATTTCAAGTCTATTTGGAGCTCATTATTAATTTAACTCTTGCAACGTAATTCTAAGAGGCATAGACTAATTTGCCTTTTTGTTTGGTATGTACAATATAATTAATTAAAAACTCTTTAAATTAATAATTATTAATTTATCGATAAATTAATAAATCTCTAAATTAATAAATTTCTCCGGTCCTGACATTATTAATTTATAGAGTTTTAACTGTATAGATTCGAATATTTAAATAGTATAATATGTAAGTATTTAGTATTGATTCAAAGCAAAAGGCTGAGATAACATATAACTATAAACTTGATCTAATTTTGATTAATAAAATTTAAACTAAAGAAAATCATGAACGATTCATATTAGCACGTGATGATGATATCCTTATTTTATGTTATTAATCGAATATAGGATATATCATATATCTATACGGATAATTAAATTTTGGGTAAATTATGCATTTAGTACTTGAACTATCAATTTGGTATGTTTTAGCAACTAAACTTTCATTTTTCTAAAATCATGCTTAAAGTTCAATTTTTGTTTCATTTTAGTACCCTGTTCAAAATTTAGCATTAAATTTAAAAAAAATAATAATTGAAAGCTTAGGTACTAAACGAACCAAAATTGATAGTTTTGGTACTAAACACGTTAAGGTTTTCATAGTGGGGTACTAAAATGAAATAAAAACTAAATGTTAGGCATGGTTTTAAAAAATTGGAAGTTTAGGTACTAAAATAGATAAAAACTTATAGTTTAGGTACAAACGCGTTAAGATTTTTAATAGTGGGGGTGCTAAAATGAAACAAAAACTAAATGTTATGTATGATTTTAAAAAAATTGAAAGTTTAACTACTAAAACGGACAAAAACATATAGTTTAGGTACTAAACGCGTTAAAGTTTTAACAGTTGGGAGTACTAAAATGAAACAAAAACTAAATGTTAGATATAATTTTAAAGAAATAAAAGTTTAAATACTAAAACGAACTAAAACTGATAATTTAGATTCTAAGTTTACCCTTTAATTTTTAATGAGTTGTTTAACTATGTTTTTGGGTGTGAAATTGCAGTTAGAAGGAGAATGGGGAAGACAATAAAGGTGTTTGGTTTGCATCAGCGATGACAGCGGAAGAAGTGAAGCAGTTCGTGGAGAATTACAAGGGTGAAGGAAGCGTGGAAGCGCTGAAAGTAGGGCAAAGAGAAAGTGGCAGAGCACACGCCAAAGTCCAATTTAAAAACGACGACGATGTCCATAGGATCTTGTCATGGACCGCTACTCGAGCATTATGGTACAACGACTCTTATCTGAAAGCATGGCCCATGAAACACAACATAATCCCCCAAATTCGATCTTGTCGGCATTGACGATTTGATGTTGCATTTCGGTTGTCTGGTTTCCAGAGACAAGTTTTCTGTGCTCTGGAACCACCCTCGTGTCTAGTTCAAATATGGTCTAAAAATGGACAAATTATACTTCTTCCTCTCTTACAATCCAGTGGATTACAAACTCGAATTGTTCAACGATAATGTTTGGCGGCTTGTCTTACATTATCTTGCTTGATTAAACAAATAAATGTCTCGTTATTTAGGTATGTTTGAATCTCATTGCTTTAATTTGGATCTCGTCTTATGGTTGAATGAGTTCTAATCTTCCACATAAATAAATATGTCGACTATCGCCAGCATCCGATAAAATTGTAGTTTCTGTTCTATGGGTCTGATTATAAGTGGTGCATCTAGAAAGAATGTCAAGGGCGGGTAGCTATGTTAACGATATAAATTTCACAAATTTATAACTTTTTAATTATTATATATTTTACAATTTATATACTGTCTTACAAGTTATCATAATTTTACAATGTGGCCCAAAAAATGTAGATACTAATTTAATAAATAGACAAATTTAGTATCAATATGGATTGAACAAAGAAAATTAAGTACTAAAATAAGGGATAGATTTAAAGGCTAAAATATGACTTACTTGTTATAAAAAGAACTAAGATATCTGCTTCTAAGAATGAAATATGGACTATTGAGTATAATTATTTTGAATAATTATATTGTTTAATAATAGTATTTTTATTTTTATTTTAAAAATCTTTATATCAATATAATGCTTTATATTGTTTTAGATATTTTTGAATAAAAATTAAAATAATAATATTTTAACAAAAACAAAATATAAAATTTTAACAAAAATAAAATAATTAGGTAAACTATGCCTTTAATACTTAAACTGTTAGTTTTGGCCTATTTTATTACCTAAACTTTCATATTTTTTTTCAAATCATGCCAATCATTTAGTTTTCATTTCATTCTATTATCCTACCATTGAGAACTTAACACGTTTAGTACCTAAACTATCAGTTTTGATCCGTTTTAGTACCTAAACTTTGATTTCTTTTCAAAACTTAACATTAAATTCTGAACGAGATACTAAAATGAAACAAAAGCTAAATTTTTTAATGGCATGATACTAAAATGAAACAAAAGCTAAAATTTTTAATGGCAGGCTACTAAAATGAAACAAAAATTAAATTTTAGGTATGTTTTTGAAAAAAATGAAAGTTTAAGTATTAAAATGGATAAAAATTGATAGTTTAGATACTAAACACGTAATTTACCCAAAATAATTTTACATTTTGATTCAATTTTCCTCTCCTATCTGTTGTATTCAACATATTTTTATTGAATTTTTTTAATAAACTAGAACTAAAACTGAGTTAGTTTGATTGAAAATTTTGTTTTTAATATGATTTATTGTAGATACTGGGAGTCCCTCGGATCTATGAGAGAGATCCTTCTAAGGAAGTAACAGAGGATGAACAGTGGGTTAGGGAAGTGGGTTTCACACCAGGGAATTGCATTGGCCAATCTTTTGCAATTTGTTTGGAGCATCCTCAATCAGTTCAACTTCTCAGGTTCGATTCAAGTTTGTTCTACAAGAAAGTAGAAGACAATTTCCTTCTCCAGCAAGGATCAACCTTTTCATCCAACATTGATCTGGTCCCCATCATAAACCCACATGCACCCATTCACATACCTTACAACATCTTGTTCAAAATCAATTATTTGGTCCAAAATGGTTTTCTTCCTCCCACTGCATTCGATTCCCAGTTCTTTGAGTATATCGATCCCAACCAGATTGATGCCGTGTTCATCGAACATGTGTTGGAAAAAAATGTTCACCTTCAAAGATTGTTGCCATGAGCCTGTTAAATGGCCGAATGAGCAATACAAGGAATACTGCAACAAGCCTCCTAGACCTCCCGTTCTTCTTGAAGGGTTGGTAGTTGTTAGAAGGATTCAAGTGACACATTCTAAGGTTTATTTCAGCTGTCCGGATATCAATCTCTCCAACTGTGTTCTTCGAAGTTACATTAAAGATATCGATAATTTTCTTTGAGTTTCTTTCGTGCACGAGGAGCTTGGAAAGATACATTCGTCTGATTTTTCATCAAGCACATCGGTTACTGATGGAAAGCCTAGTAGAATATATCAGATGATATTGTCGACTCTCCAAAATGGTATACTTACTGGGGACAAGAAATTTGAATTTCTTGCTTGTTCAATAAGTCAATTAAGAGAAAACTCCATCTGGGTGTTTGCTTCAAAGCTTGGGCTTACTACAGAGGGTATCCGAGAGAAAATGGGTCATTTCCATGTCATAAGGAATGTGGCCAAATATGCAGCTAGATTAGGCCAGTCTCTAAGTTCATCTAGGGAAACCTTACAAGTGAGCCAGAATGAAATCAAGATAATTCTTGATCTTGAAGTTGAAATCGATGAGACAAAGTGTAATTTCTCTAACGGTATTGGAAAAATATCGGCTAAACTTGCCAGGGAAGTAGCTAGGAAATGTGGACAGAGAAACACTCCATCGGCATTTCAAATTAGTTATGGTGGTTACAAAGGAGTCGTGGCTGTCGATCCATCGTCTTCGACAAAATTATCCTTGAGAAAGAGTATGCAGAAGTTTGATGCACACTCTACAAGTCTAGATGTTTTGTCATAGAGCAAACTTCACCCTTGCTACCTTAATTGACAAATAATCATCCTTATGTCGACTCTTGGGGTCAAGGATAGTGTTTTCAAGACGAAGCAGAAAAAGTTTTTAGCTCAATTGGATGCGATTTTGGTGGATCCAGAAAAGGCAAGGGAAACAATGGATAGGATATGCCACGGTGAACTTGTAAAAGTCTTAAGAGAAATGATTCTTCATGGTTACAAATCAGATTTTGAACCATTTCTATCGATGATGCTACGAACGATTCGTGCCTCGAAACTACTTGATTTGAGGACAAGAACAAGGATTTTGATTGATAAAAGAGGGATTCTAATGAGGTGTCTGGATGAAATCGGGACACTTGATTATGGGCAGGTTTTTGTTCAATACTCCGACTCTAAGTCGAGGCAATCTTTGAACGATAGCTTATTAACATTCAACGATTGTCGATCGAGTCGAAATTTCCATATTGTGGAGGGGAAGGTCGCAATTGCTAAAACCCCTTATTTTCACCCTGAAGACCTACGAGTTCTATAGGCGGTGGATGATGTAGTCCTGCATCACCTGGTTGATCGTTTCTTGGGATAAAGATCTCATTCCTCCCTGCAACTTTCCGCCAATCGATTACGTGTTGAACCAAGTGCCCTTTTGGATCGTGATGTTTCCATGGAGGTATTTGCTCAAATCATTAACATTCATACTACCATTGCATGAAGCATGTCTGCATTTCTCGGGTTTCGGGTTAGTGTTTGATAGAGGTTCATACGTTTATATGTGTTGGATGTAGCAAAATATTTCACGGACTACATCCTCAACGATAGCTTGGGAGTCATTTCTAATGCCCATGCAGTGCTCGCCAACAAGGAGTTAGCAAAGGCAATGAGCGAGCAATGCATTGCGCTTGCCAAGCTATTGTCCAAAGCGTTCGACCTCCCGAAGACCAGGATTCCAGCCAAAATACCTAGTCGTTTACGCATCAGTGAATAATACTCAGATTTCATGGAAAAGCCCGATAGGTTAACCTATGAGTCTCAGTCTGTGATCAGTCGCCTTTACCGCAAGGTGAAAAAACATATAAGCTGAGGTCAGTACTGCTGAACATTTCACAGATCGGTAGCAAAACTTTCCTACGACCCAAACATGGAATTCGAAGGCTATCTAGCTCATGTCAATGATGTCTTGCATTACAAGCGACTATAAAACCATAAGCTGGCTAACCTGATTGAGTATAACAGAAATTTAGGGACCATGTTTATTCTTTTATAAAAGTTTGAGGTTTCAGCTACCATTAAGTCAAAAAAATTGTTGTTAAAAGAATTTAAACTTGTGTAAGTTAAGGGGTTGTTTGTTTGCTTCTTAATGGAATCATTCAGCGCTGAGTGCTGAACCGTTCAGCATTCAGCGCGTTTGTTTCGTACATCTGAATGATTCAGTGTTGACTGATTCAGCAAAACAGTGTTGAATGATTCAACACAGAAGTACATTCTGAATGATTCGGAGTCATTATCAAACAACATGTCACATTCAGAGCTAATTCATATAGAGCCTCTGAATCATTCAGCATTTGAATCATTCAGCATTTGAATCATTCAACGCTTAATCATTCTGAAGTAAACAAATAGTCCCTAAGTTAAAAAATCAAGATCACATGTTTTCTTATTTTTAAATTTCCAAAACAAAATTTTAATGAAAATACTTAAAACATATTTTACATATTTTTATATTTTCTAGAAATTATTTTCTAATTTTACATCCAAAAACATTCTCTTAAACGTTTTCTATTTTCTAATAAAATAAAAAATAAAAATAGCTCATATTTTCTAGAATCAAAATAGACATTGGGCTCTTGCCCAAAATATTTCGGGCCTGGAAGACAATTTTTCGGACCGATAATCTGACCCAACAATGCACATTGGGCTACTGCCCAACATTTTAATGGTTTAGTGGTGAAACAAACAAACAAATGGAGATTGAGATGGAGCGTCCCAGGTTTATTTGATTCTACACAATTTCCTTACAGAAATGAATGCAAGGTCAGATCCAAACTTTCGATCCCACTTATAATCTATTTCATCGTCGAATTATGAATGAATTTATCAAAAAAGAAAAGAAAAGGAATCGGAGTTCATACACGAGCTGCAGTGCGGTTGGATACAGGCCAAACGTGTTTTCAACAACACTTTCTCATCTCATCGCCACTAACTCAGCTCATCTAATCACCCCTTTTCTTCCCATTAGAGGTTCTTCGTTAATCCTTTCGATTTTGCTTCTGTTTCTTTATTAATGAATGATCTCATTAATAGTTTTTGAAATTTGATGTGCAGATAGGTTGAAAGAGAAGGTGGAGGAGTTCTTTGGTTGTGAATATGAGCTTGCTACTGAGTTCACTGACCTCATTAGGTACCAATTTCGGCCTTAATTTAATAAAGGATTGTTAATCTCTTACTCAAACTCGGGTGAGAGTGTCGGATATGATGGATATGTGTCTGACATGGATATCTTTGAATTTGTAGAATTTTTTCCCCACATATCCATAACCATGTCCAAGTGTCGGACATAGATACTTTAAGAAAAGTTATATGTCGAAGTGCATATGCTTGTTTATTCACTTTACCTTTGATTAATGTTAAGATTACCATACATCATGCGTATTGTAGTTGGAGCAGAGGAACAAGTATAGGTTGGCATAGTGATGATAACAGGCCTTATCTCAAGCAACGCGACTTTACGGTGTGTGTTCACAGCTTTTTCTGGGAAATATTCATGCCTTTCACATTTAGTCTTTTGTGAATAAGTCCTGCTGAGGCCTGAGGTTGTTTCAGTTTTGTTTGAAGGCAGTATGTTATTTGAATAGTTATGGGAGGGATTTTGAAGGTGGACTGTTTCATTTCGAAGATGGGGAACCGAAAATGGTTGCACCTGGTTGGAGTAGATGCAGCTGTTTTATATTTTCTTAAGATACGTGTTCTCTTAGTATTTCCTGCACGGACATGTAGAATTTACTTTCATATTTTAGTAATACGATTTTGATACGGATCTTATTGTGAGTGTTGGCACTGGTATGCTTAAATATTTAAATGTTTTTCATCGTCTGGAGGGTGTAGCTCCATATCCATGTCTGGAGATGTGTTGGGTACTTCAAGAAAAAAATGAATAGTCGGAGTAGCAATCTAGAATTATTAAGGTCTAATTTGGAGTACTTCTCCAAGTACTTACAGGAATCAAATAAGGGTTAGAAAAGGCCTTTGAGTTGCTAGTCATGAGGAAGGGAACATGATGTGGTCGGGGTGCCAAATTTGAGAGTTATTACTTTGCTTGCGTAGAATGCATTGGTTGCTAAGATTATCTTAATGAAATGTAAGGTATTTGGAAACTTCTTCTGTAGTGAGTCTCCTCATCTCAGCGAAGAAGCAGCCATGTCCATTTTATTAGCTAGTGAAAGGATGTTCACTCTGACATTTGATTGATACTCTTTGCGTTAATATATATCAGGATGTCGTGATTTATACAGCTGACAGCCACAACACTCATTCTGTGGACGAGGTACTCTCCCTCTCTCTCTTGTAATATATATAATATGCTATCTAATTCGTCTATCAAAGGGAAATGAATGCTACTAGGGTTCAATTGGGAAAGCGAAATTTAGGTTCTTAGTGTTGGGCTTGATATCGTTTTTAAAGCAGGATTTCAAACTTGGATTGAGGTTTGATTTGAGCTAAGCAGATAGTCTCAATACTTTGTCTTAGCTGAGTCATTTTCTTAGTGAAAAATTGGCTCATGCATAATGTTAGTGTACAGAGCAGTATAATCCGTTTGGAACTCTGATTCTTCTGCCGCCTTTATGTTGACCAAGAAAGGAAGTTCTGTTAGAGTAGGATTCTTCCTACGATTGTTTCCTTGGTGAACAAGATTTCCTATCCCTATGAATAGAACATTGGGAATAGGGTTTTTGGAAGTGACGAATGTAACAGATTTATACTTTTTTGACAGTGAAATTTTCTTCTCCTCTGTTAGTGGTTTTTCCCTTTTGGGTTTTACACGTAAATCTTGTTGTTCTTTATTTTTCTTTTTTTCGATCAATCTGTATACTGATTAATCACTCCGATAATCATAAAACTCAATTCCGTGGTGTAAGATGTAATAAAGTATTTTAGAAAAAATATTGTTTAGGAAGTAATGTGCTGCAATTTATAAAAAGGGTCCTTTACGTTGGCTAGTGTTTACATATTACATTATTTGACAGGTAGCTGACGGAGAACGGCTGACACTTACTTTATGGTTCAGCCGTGATAGTTCCCATTGTAGATGCTCGATTTATCCGGGGCTAAGTCGGAGCAGACCCGAAGTAGAGTAGTTGGAGGCCCAATTCAATGACCAAGCCTAGTCCACGTGAAATCCTAAAAAACTAAAAAACGGTTATTGGGAGTTAAAAAGCAAAGTGGAGGTGAGGGTCGGTTTTTGGAGGCATTAACCATCAGAAATCATACAGATTGGGGGAAGAGAAATTTTTTTATTTGTTTTTGAAAACAGAGAAGAAACAGAGAGAACACGAAATAAAGGAAAACATTTCAACAAAAAAATATACTAGCTATCAATAATTTTACAAGTGCAAAAGGAGTGCCAAAGGAAACACTATTGTAATCTTACAATTGAAAAACAAATAACGCAATAAAGGTATATTTTTTTTTCGAGGAATCATTCTTTAATTTCTTTATTTTTCCAGTTCTTTTTTATTGTTTTTTTAATGTATGTGTGATTGTGGTTTAAAACTAAAATTTGAAAGAGATTAGGACATACCTAGCCTGCCCGAACACCAATGGTGTCTTGTTGATTCCATTCATTCTATGTGTTGGTTCTATTGTCAAGGAAAATGTGGGATTTAATTTAGAAAAACCAGAATAAAATAAAAAGAAGAGTGAAAGTGAGAATTTACCTTGGTCGAGCGTCGGGACTACTATCGGGGTTGAAGAGGTGAATGGTCGAGAGATGAGGGAGACTTGGGTTAATTGCGTTTAGGATACGATTTTGCTTCCCCTTCCAGTTCAGTGATGTTCGAAGGTGCAGAGAGAGGGTACCATTATGTGGTGGCCGACCATGGCTTTCGGCCATGTGAGCGAGAAGAGTCGAGAGTGATAACGGTTGCGGTGGTGTTTAAAGGAGGGTGGAGCGTCGAGTTAGAAACAAGGAAAGTGGAGAGCAAAGCTTGAACGGCTGAAGGCATTCATGCGTGCAATTTACTTAGGTTTAGTGTAAAGTTAGGTTTTGTATAATAATATTTTGGTAAATTAACTTTTGGCCACTCAGACTTTATAGTAAATTAGGTTTCAGTCTTAAGTTTAGCCTTGTTTAGCCTTGTTTTGCATTTCCGTCACTTTTAAAGTCTGTTTTCGAAATTTAGCATTTTAAATTTGTCATGTTTTTGAATTATTTGAGCTACTGTTCATTTGAGTTTTCTTCTAAATTCATTTTAGTCCCTAATCGATTATTTTTCATGTATTTAATTTTGTCCTTTTATTTTGCCTGCATTTAATTTCGGTCCCAAGTAGTATTGTTGTATCTAACTTTTATTGTTTTAGACATTTGAACTCAATTTTTTTATGTTACTTTTTAGTCCTTAAACATTTAGGATTAGTATTTTAGGAAAATTACATAGATACCATTTAATTTGGGTTATTTAGGTGTAGATCCATTGTTTATGCGTGTTGTTTTATTTAAGTCCTTGGTTTAATTTTCGATTTGCATGTTTAATTTTATGTGTATTTAAATTTAGTCATTATTTTAACTTGAATATATATACTTTTTAAATTTATAGTTTAGCATGTTATGATTTTATTTTTATATTTAGGTCACATGTATATATAATATGTTAATGTGCATAATTTATAATTTATAATTTTAAAATGTATGTATATAATTTTTTGTATGTCACATTGTATGCTATTTTTTTAATTTTTGTTTAATTAATTTTAGCATGATATTTTTTCACAATTTGCATGATAGCCTCATTTGCATAACTCGACATATTACATAATTAGATTAAGGGTAATACCCTTTTAATTTAAAATTGTTGCAAGTGGGCAGTCATAACTGATTTGAGGTCCGCTTTTAATGATTTTAAAATAAAAGTGTATCCCGAAAGTGAAACTAAAAAAATTGATTCGTCACCTAAAATTTGGGAACGAGAGAAAAAGAAATGTTCGTTTATTTAAATATATCGAGAAAAGGTTGTTATATCTTTAAGATCTGGTCTCGATATTTGTAAATAATCGAACATTCTTTATCTTTCTAAAATGACTTGGTAATTTTAATTTAATTTGTTTGAGTGTTGTTGAATGTTTTTAAATTTATATATTTGTTTTATGGGATCAAAAATCAAATTAAGTTCGAATTTGTAAAGTTCATTGCAAAAACGTTAATTAATCGACTAGGTACCGATTTAGGGCGTTGTGGGGGTGCTAATCCTTCCCCACACGTAACCGACTCCCGAACTCGGATTTTGGTAACGCAGACCTTAATTTGTTGTTTTAATTAAAATTAATTTTTATTTAAAATGACAAAGCATTTTTGGGTGCCCAACCACACCCTAATCAAAGATTGGTGGCGACTCTTTGAACCGTATTTTTCGATCGTAAAGGAAATCCAAAATTTTTTGAAACGAGAGGTCTTTTAAATCGTATTTGTTTTTAAATTAAAAAGAGATAATTAAGAATTAATGTGGTTTTCAAAATCTCACCTTTTTCACCTTTTAGAAAAAAATCGTTTCGACAGCTTGGCGACTCTGCTGGGGAACTTTTTTTTAGAGAGTCAGGCCGATAGTCGATTAATTAATTGTCTTTGCAATTGAAAATTACAAATTCGTTTTAATTTGATTTTTTGATCCCTTGTTTGGTTTTTAATAAGTTTAGTTTGTATTTTGATTTTCTTTTAATTTAATTCGATTAACAATTAAATAGTTGTACTAATTTGTTTGCTAATGATTTCAGATTAATTGTGTGAAATTTAGGAAATTTTGAGTGTTTTTATTGTGTTTTTCGCTTTTCCTCACACACTGCACAGCTGCATTATCATAATATGAGCTAAAACCCCGCTCCGTCCTATTTAAGTAGGAGTGAGAGACTATGCCCTCGTGTGGTTTTCACCTCCGCATGGGATAGTGGATCGCTCCTGGAGCTCATACCTTATGGTCCTCGTGATGGTAATCACCTCCGCATGGACATAAGGAGGTGTGTTCCCTCGAAATTGAACTCGATGCCCTAAAGCCTGTGATGGCCAGGATTGAGGGTTCGGCAGCCCAAAGGGGCACCGGCAAGGACAATTCGAGAACCTATTGCTTTAGAACCTAACCCGGCATATAGTGAACGTAGAGCCCGAACTTAGGTTGAACTAAACCCGAACCTTAAGAATCCCGTGAGGAGGGTACACAAGGAAAAGCTTTTTTGAGTCATTTATTTTTCGTTTTTTCAAATAAATTCATGCGAACTAGATATCATGCGGTTAGGTTTATTTTTTGAATAAGCATGCGAATTAGATATCATGAGGTTAGGATTTCTTTTTGTGGATAACAAAGCATGGGGGTAGATATCATGTTGGGTAGGATCTGATAAAGCATGATGGGGTAGTCAGCATATGTGGGTAGGATTTTTGAACAAATTATCCTGAATTAATTGCTTCATGTTTACTAACCGATCTTTTGTTGTTTTTGCCTTGTTTCTTTTCTGTTTTGCATTGCATTGTCCATTACATGGTGTTGATTTGGGGTCGATGTCCATATAGAAGGCCAGTAATATGGAACGAACGGTTCAGAAAGAGGTTGAGGACAATGCAGATATTCTGAGGTGGTCGGAACAGTCCCAATTGACCAATGGAGACAGCGTGATGCGTGGATATGTGTCAGAGTTATTTGGTTACACTCACATCAACGTACGTCAGAATGATCTGAGTGAGCTAAGAGAGATATGGGGAAGATGGGAAGCAGCTGATAAGGAGATGTTTTATCAGTTGTACGGCGATATTCCTTATCTTCTGGATGTTCCTATTGACCGAAATATGTTTAGAGCATTGGCACAGTTCTGGAATCCGGCTTATGGCTGTTTCACATTTGGTAGAGTGGATCTAACACCAACAATAGAGGAGTATCAAGCATTGGTCCGTTGTCCGAGGTCACAGATAGATAGAATATATACCAAGCTGCCAGTTACTCCTTCATTTAAGAAGAAATTACTATTGATGACCGGAATGAGTAAAGATTGGGTAGTCAGAAACATTAAGAAGAAATGAGACAATGAGTGCATCTCTTGGTCTGCTTTGAAAGAAGTAATTGCTCATCATCCTGATAAGAGAAAGAAGCTTGACTTGTTTGCTTTAGGGATTTATGGGCTCGTTATTTTTCCAAAAGTGCTAGGATATGTAGACGTATCAGTCGTTGACCTGTTTGAAAGATTAGACAAGCGCGTGGATCCTGTTCCAGCCATTTTAGCTGAGACGTTCCGGTCTTTGAGTTCTTGTAGACGCGAGGGAGAAGGACGCTTTATAGCATGTGCGCCTTTGCTGCTTGTGTGGATTCTGAGTCATTTCAAACATGTTGAAAGGGCACCAGGACGAGTATTTTTAGACGGTTTCTCACCTTTGAATGATTTTCTTTCTAAAGAGTGGCCTGGGGGTTTTACCGAAGAAAAATGGATGGTCATCTTCAAGGATATCAGAGATGGAGATATTTTGTGGCGAGCTTCGTGGAATACCTCTTCGGATATACTTTACCGATGTGGAGAGCAAGATTGGGTTCCTTTGTCAGGTATATGGGGTTCTGTTGGGTATGCACCGCTACTAGTTT